TGAAAGATAGATCATCGTTGTATCTTGGAGCTAAGCTAAAGTAATGAATAACTCTGACACACACTGTCTCTTGGCACAGACCTGATTTAGGTGATATCCCTACTCTTTGTGGCGTTGAGCTACTCGTCTAATCCCGACACATATCAAAAAGGTTTCAGGATAGGGTAGGGAGCAGACTTATGTCTCATGCCAGAAATCAGAAATCTTTTTGCTTTTGTTTTTTTATTTTGGTTATCAAAGATGACATGAAGTTACATCTTTTCCTTCTTTTATTGCTTTTGATGAATTTTTACTGTCTTTAATTTTTTTTATTATTCATTTAGTCAGGACAGGGAAAATTCTGTCATCTAGTTCCGTTTTGCTGTATTTACCTGAAAATTCTTCTCTGTTGAAGTATTTCATAAACAGAAAGGAATATACATATATATCTCAACTCTACTCACATCTCAATTTAAGAAATACAACACTACAAACATCTTTGATGGTCTGTTTACCACTGCCCATTCACATACTACTGCCTATATCCCAGATGTATCTGTAGTCTTGAGTTTCATATTTGTCATTATCTTGACTTTGTGAAAGCAAACTATATGAATTGGGTCATTCCTGTCATACCCAACTAATTCAGAGTCAAAGGGCCCAGCGGAAAATCACCTGTGGCACATAATACCGGCTCCAAAAATTACGTTTTCCACAAGCTCAGCTGCTATAACCCTAACATTATAGTTTTACCTACTGCTGTCACCAATCAGGGCCAGACAGCTTTTAGAAGCTTTACTCATGTCAACACACTTCCTTTCAAAACAATACATAACATTTCTCCTCTAATAAAACTTCCAACCTTCTCTTTGTTTTCTGGATGGATTGAGGACCAACCACCCTACTCTGTGTGTATGCCCTGAATTGGAATTCTGTGCTTCCAAATAAAACATTTAATTCAGAGATTCATCTCTGTATGTTATTTTTACTTCAACAATTTATCAAAACTATTTTGAATCCCTAAGCAATATACTGTTCAGCTTTGTTTTGAACTTTACAAAAATTGTATCGTATTCTTTTAACTAATGGATACAAACATAATTCATATTTTCATTGCTGTTTTGTATTTTATTATATAAACTGCCAATACAAACAATGCTTCTATGTATATAATGTAAATGTACATACCAAATAATGGAATTGCTGGGTTATAGGGTATTTTTACTAGGTAATATTTTTTGTTTCCCATTGTAGAAATCCTTCTTACCCCAAGGGCATATATTTTTTATTCTCAAAATGTCAGTGTTTTATTTTTTAAAGTTAAGCCTTTAATGTTCCTGGAATTAACTATTATAATCCACAGTGCAACACTTGTTATAACAAGTTTCTACATATACGTAGGTCTGTTTAAAGGCTATCTATTCTGTTCATCTGTTTGTCCCTATTAACAAATACTATACTGTCAATGTTGATAATTGGGCAATGTAAATCCAGCCAGGGTGTTTTTCCTCACAAGTGTCTAGAATGTTTCTTTACTGTATAAATTCTAGAAGTGTCTTTTCAAGCTCCATTGGGAGGAAAACAGCCATTAGAGATTTCACTGGCACTGAATTTAGCTACAAATTTGGGGATGACTGAAATTTTTATGATATTGTTTACCTATACATAAATATGATATCCCTCCATTTATTTATATCCTCTTCAATATCATTTAATAAAGTTTTATATTTTTAAATTTTAATTTTAATTTTTATGGGTATGAAAGAGTTGTACATATTTTGATACTAGCATATAATGTGTAATGATAAAATCTGAGTAACTGAAATGCCCATTACTTCAAACATTTATCATTTCTTCTGTTGGAAACATTCTACATCTTCTCTTCTAGCTATTTTGAAATATACAACAAATCATTGTTAGAGTCACTCTATTGTGCTATCAAACATTAGATCTTATTCATTCTGTGTAACTGCACTTTTGTACCCACTAAAAAACCCCTTTTTATCCTTCTCTCCTCACTACCCTTCCAAGCCTCTGATAACCATCATTCTATTTTCTACCTCCATGACATCAATTTCTTTTAGCTCCCACATATGAATGAAACATATAATATGTGTCTTTCTGTGCTTGGCTTATTTCACTTAACATAATGTCCCCCAGTAGTTCCATCCATATTCCTGCAAAGAAAAGGATTTCATTCTTTTTCATGGCTGAGTAAAAATTTGAACTTTATCTTTTGTTAGATTTATTTGCAGGAAACATATATACTCTTGCTCTATTACATAAGGTATCTTTTTGCAAAATGACATTTTCTTGCCTTTTGTAGCTGGTGTAGAGGAATACTACTGATTTTTAACATCCATATTGATCATCTATTTAAAAAACATATTAAACTCTTATTTCTAGTAATAGGTCAATAATCACGTAATCTGTGAATAACTACTATTTTCTTTCTTCCTTTTCAGTTCTTAAACATCTGGACAAAGACAGAACATATTTTGTCTTTCTTGTCTTACCAGGCTGGCTAGGTACTGCAGCACAATGCTGCATAAAAATAGCAATGAAATTTTTAAAAAATGTAATAGTAGTTATAACTTCTCAAATAACAATAAATATTTTAAATATGTCCTAAATAGAAAGGACATTTCTTTGAGTAACTTCAAAAGAGAATATAAAGGCTAAAGCCCTAATAAACATATATCTAGAAAGGCAAACATTTTAAGCATTAATCAAATCTTTGGGCCAATTTTGAAGGACTCTTTATAACAAACAAAGAAAAGAAGGCAAGAAAACAAACCTTTTTGTAGTAAATCAGGTCCCCTGTCAAGTAGCTGAGGTGGATGAACTCCATATGTAGTGTACCAAATTCAGCCAGAATGCTGCTACCTGCAGATGCCCAGCCCCAGTTTCGCCCTACTCCACTGAATGAAAAGGAAAAGTAAAAGGAGACAGGATTGGGAAAAGACCAAAACATTTGTTTAATGAATATGTAAATTTTAAATAGATCTCTTAGAAATTATTATATCTGACACAATAGCTTATTTATATCTAAAATTGCATTAAAAATTTAAATAGGTAATAAATCCATGTTCTAAAAATTAAAACAGTATTTTTAAAATCCAGTAAATATATTTCACCCATTCTCATCTCCATTCACCTCACCAGGCCCCAAAGAAAATCACTTTCATTCCTTTCTTACGTATGACTACAGAATGTTTTATGCAAATGTAGGCAATCCAAATGTATATTCTCACTGTCCTCCTTTCTTAAACAAAACATAGCAAGTTGGTGGTCTTTCCGTATCAGTTCACAAACAGTTTTCTCGTTTTTTTTTTTTTTTACAGTTGTACAGAATTCCATAATATTAATGATTCTCAAGTGGAATGCACCACCCTAGAGGCACATGAAAACGTGTGGCAGCATTTTGAGTTGTCTCAAAACTTGAATGTGCAACCTCCACTTATTGTGCCAGGTCCAAAGTTACAAACTGCCCTGTAGCAAATGATTGGGACAGTATCATACAATAAAGAACTGGTTTGCACCAAATGATGATAGTGCTTGTGTGAAAATTAATATATTATATAAACATACACAATTTGTCTAATAAATTCCCTAATGATGGTCCCTTGGGCTATTTCCAATATTTTGTTATCATGAACATTTTTCAGTGAATAATCTCATAAACATTTCATTTGTGCAGATATAATCTCTAGAATATGCTCTTGCATTTTCTTTTTTTAAACTGTTCAGTAATTTTTTATTTGAAGCCAGACTATATAAATGAAAAATTGTAGAGGTTTGAATTACATTATCTTCTAAAAAGGTTAAATTTCTTCTAAACACAGACTGAGTAAACGCAGACTATATTGTGTTTTAGGCTTTGTTAAAGACAGTCCATTTCCGTTTTTACCCCAACTTCCAGAAATGGACCTGGGAATTTCAGCTGGAAGCCAGGGGTATTTACCAAGGGCACCTAAGCAGCCTAACCTGTTTCCCCACTATCATGTGGCTGTTAAATTTTCTCCTTAGCCCTTTAATTTCCTTCTGCTATTTTCTGCTGGGTTTCTTTGAGTCTTGTTTGCCCTATATATGTGGTTATAGAATCACCAATGACTTGAGGGAAATTTGTCCATAAATTTTGGGCTTTTCCTCTGCAATTTCTTTCCATATGAGATTTTGTCCCTATGTTTCAGTCATTTTAGCAGCTCCAGGGCCTGACCATTGTCTCCTCTGCCCGAAATGACTGCCACTTTAGATATGGCCTCTATTGCTCTGAACATGATTTAGAACATATCCTCAGGGAAAAAGCCAATGTTTACATGGCGATGACCTTAGGATCATAGCCCCTCAAGTTCTACCTGAGTTAATTGCATTTCAGTGTCTTCAAACCATTTGGTTTTACATATTTTGTCTAGCTTTCATGACTGCTTTTGGTAGGAGGGTAGTCTGATAAAAGGTATTTCACGGTTGGAACTGGAAGTCTAGATTGTTCAAGCAGCAGAGTTCCTAGATTATTCCTACAAGAACTCTAGACCATTCTCTAGGATCTAAAGGGAGAAGTATAAATATAAATATTTTTGCCAGGTGGGGTGGCTCACGCCAGTAATCCCAGCACTTTGGGAGACCGAGGCAGGCAGATTACCTGATTTCAAGACCAGCCTGACTAGCAGGGTGAAACCCCATTTCTACTAAAAATACAAAAAAATTAGCTGGGCATGGTGGCAGGCGCCTATAATCCCAGCTACTCGGGAGGCTGAAGCAGGAGAATCGTTTGAACCCAGAAGGCGGAGGTTGCCATGAGCTGAGATTGCGCCATTGCACTCTAGCTTGGGCAAGAAGAGCGAAACTCCGTCTCAAAAAACATATGTATTTATATATATTTTTTCTCATCTTATCTTCACTTGTATTCTGTCAATTCCACATCTTATATTTTATTTGTGTTTAGAAAACATTAAAATAAATGTAAGAACATATCACAACCTTGCTTAAAGTTCCTTGTTTGGTGCTATTTTTAAATTGTCTGAAAATATGGAAGGCAAATACCACTAAGATATTTTATAGCTAGAAGTGAGAATCAGAGAATAAATATGGATATAGTAACTACATAAGACAGTCATTCATTTCACAAATGTAAGTGTTTACTATGCTGTGAGAGAGTGGTGAACCTGACATATACTATTCCTGCTCCTACAATAAATAAGATCATTTTAAATAGCGATAGTTGCTATGAAGAAAATTAAAAAGGAAAAATAGAATGTTGAGTACTAGGGATAGAGAGTGAGTTAGAAAAAAGGCTCTTTATATATTATGTTCAGAGAAAATGTTTCTAAAATGATGTGATTTGAACTGAGACCTGAATGATGAGGAGCCAGTAATGGAAAGATCTGGAAAAACAGAATTCCCAGTAAGGGAAACAGCAAATGTAATGGCCTTGAGGGAAAGGAAGGAGGCTAGTTTGGCCAGAGTTCAGAAAGTAAGGGGAAGTGAATGACACAGGATGAGGTTAAAAAGCAAGGTATAATCTGGACTACGTAATAATTTTGTAGGCCATGGTAAAATTTTAGTCGTTAAGTGTGATGGAAAGTCACGAATAACTTTAAGGATTATAACATACTTAAGGAATAAAGCATACCATTTAGAAAGATTAACTAGGTTTCAGCATAGTGGATGAATTACAGTGTGGTCAACTATAAAAACAAAACTTAGGAAGTCCAACAGTTTGCCATTCTTTATAAAAAGAACTTCTAGCCAAAAGTCAAAAAGGAACACTTTTCAAAATACTAAATTCTAAACAAAGTTTTTACATTTTTTACATCATGTCACAGGAAGAATCTAAAATATTAAATTTGATACTTACATATATCCTAGCAACTCAGAAAAATAAGAAAATTCCTAAGAACAAGATATAATGCTGCTGAGGACAAAAATATTCCAACTTAAAATGATGATGAGCTGCCAAAAAATAACCGGATCATAATTTCATGCAAATTCATGTTTTGTTTTTTTCAACTGATCAAAGTAAAACGTCTGGATACTGAAATTTACATATATACTCAGAGAACCTGAGTAACAAAAAATTTGCAAGGAATACCAGAAAACAAAAACAAGCAAGCAAAACATATGATGTTTCTCTTACCTGACCACCAGCAAAAGGAAAGACTCTAAAAATGTTTGGTAAACTCTTGACAGTAAATCAACCTAAGCATTCTACAATCATATTAAATTGTTTTGATAATGAGTCTTCTATATTTTGATTTGCATTTTGTTGAAAGTCAGTTGAATATATTTAATCAATGTATTGAAAGAATGGAGTAAAGCTTTCAGGAAACTGCAATTATTGGAAACAAAGCTTGCAAACAGGCTGATACTGAAATGCATTCCAACAAAAGCAAGGAACGAACTAAAGAAATTAAAGCATTCAATGTGTAAGCTTAAGTTGAAGTATCTTCATTTGTAGGAATAATGGTTTGATGGAGCTCCTATTTTCAATTAGATTTATTTACATTGTATACTTCAATGGAATGAAATTGAGAAGCTATATGATTCTGTGTCATCTAAACTGGAAGATTACTTAAAATAATTACAAATAAAAGTCAATGTAAAAATATCTCAGATTTGTAGAAGGTATTCTGAATGAAAGCAAAAGAATGGCATTTGTAACAATATCTGGTCTGAAATATTTAAACGTTTTAATATGCAGAAATTGAGAATTGAGAATATCCTGCAATTAAGCAGAATTTGCTCTGAGCAACTGTAGGGAGAATACCTTCTCTAATAAAAGCATGCAAGAGTCAATTGAAAGTGCCAATAATTTCAAATTTAGATAAATACACAAGAATATATGTTTTTAATAATTTCATTTTAGAATATAGGTTTACAGCAGAATTACTTTACAGGATACCCAATAAAATAAAACCAATTTGTCGGTGATTAAATACTCTGAAAATTAAATAGTTTTAATTATTTCAGCTCCCCCATTCATTCTGAAATTGTACTCTTATGAATAACACACTATATGGTCATTCTCATTATATGATGCCATAATCTGGCTTATAAAATATTTTTAATATAATGTAAATATTTTATGTATGATATCATTTATGTGGCAACATATTATTTTACCTTATGGACTACCAAATTTGCTTAACAAATGACCTTACTCTTGAACGTTCGACCTGTACTTATGATTTTGTGAAATACGCTGTGATAAACATTTTATAGATGTCTTCCTTAGTCCATAAATCCAATTTCTTCAGGTATATTAACAAAGGTTGAATTGCTTTAAGGGCTTTTGACAGATAATACACTAGTCTACAAGTAAAGCTGAAATGTAAGAATGGCTTTCTTCTCACCTTTTTATTGTAGCAGATGCTTTAAAAATTTTTTAAGTAAAAAACTTCCTTGACAGCAGATGAATATAACAACTTTAATTTTTATTTTTAAATGAAGTCTGATTTTTGTTACATTTTCATTTAATTTGAGGGGATATGTAATATACTCATAATTTAAAATGACAAATGGCACTGAAAAAGCATAAAGTAAAAGAAAAAAAAGTCTCTCTCTAAGACCTCTACCTCTTCCAATCACTCTCAGTCCCAAAGCAATCTGTTAGCACATTCTCATCTACCCTTTTGGAAAACTGTATGCCTACATAAGCATAATTTGAGTTGTCTATTACATTTTAAATACTCATTGGTCTCTTCTAATTTTAATTCTGTATTTTTACAAACTGTTTTAAAAATATGTTTTCAAAGTTAAGATTGTCCTTCAATTATAAGGTAATGTTATTTTTTGTTATTACACAGCCCCTCAGCCAAGCATAGGATCTGGTTTATTTTTCTTTTTAACTATATACTGACGTATAATTTACATACAAAAATGCATCTTTTCAGGTGCACCATTCAATGGGGTTATGACAAAT